GAGACGTAAAAATACACTTGTCCAGATGAGAAGATGAGTAGATGCCCCCGGATGTTCAGGGGAGAAACTTTGAGGATTAAAGCTGGCGTTTGATAGTTCAGTGCATTAGATTTTTATGTCAAACTATAGGGGGATAAAACAGACTTTTAAAAAATGAACAACATTGAAATGTTAATTAATCATCAAGAATCATTTTTACTCCATTCTTTCCTGTTTTGTTTTGACAACTGACTTGATTTTCAGAGACAGCGCCCCGAGGAGGGACTTGCTCATCCACCAACTGTCGGTCCTCCAGTCACTCACATCACTTTGGGCAACATCGACTCCACAAAATCTGATTTCCATTCAGCACTCTTTTACCTTGAAACTATTGTTGGAGCCCTGATTTTCCTCCACATTCAAGTGAATGACTAACTGAGGACTCCACCTGTCTGCTCCGATTTTCATGCCCCTTTTCCTGTTCTACTTCTCTGAAGATGATGGATGCACTTGAAATCTTCAGGGACACCTGGTCGTTAGGCTGGAGGTAAAGCAAATCACATTGCATGACTGTGTTGGGAGAGGGGAAGAGACTGGGCAGCGAAGAAGGGCAGAGCGGATAAGTAACATGCAGGGGAGCGGAGAGTGAGGGCTTTTGTTAGCTGACATTACAGAGTCACATTGTAATGTAGAGGATATAGCCTTCAGGTCTGACGGGAGGGAGAGACCCGAGGAGCAGCCGGCACCTGCTGCCAGTCATTTAAGGTGACAGTAAGCCGTGGTCACCCAGTCCTATTGTTTGCTCTGCAGAGTGTTGAGTCTCTGGGCATGAGAGTGTGTTGGCCAGAGAGCTTTCAGAGCGATCTATACTCTGATTAATACCAGAGTTCTCAAAAAAACATAGTTAAAAACAAGCTGTGACATCGCCTGCAAGAGCCCAGCATGCCAACTGATCACCTAAACAAATGACTGCATACAGAAATCCATTAACACATAACAAGACCTACACTACATTCACCACACGAGGCAGGCAGCCTATGTGCTATAGCACACCTGGGACTGAGCATGAAATTCATGGCCCCCATCAAGATGCTGTTTTCACCTTGCAGTTGAAAGGCAAAGGCAGAGCTCCTGGTTCCAGCTGGTTTCAAACACCACAGATAGAGGTCGATGCTCTCCATCGCTGCCTCTGCCGAGCAGCCTACCCTTCAAACGTTCAGACAGCTAAAAGAACCCCCAGAGACCAGCAGTTCCTCTTCTTTATACAGCTCTTGCTGCTGTTGCTGCCCTGCCCACAAACACAATCAAGCACTGAAGCTGTGCAGCTTCTCTAAGGTGGCGGTTTTCTTTGTACACAAGCATCAGAGCTGGAAATCATCTCGGGGGGGAAAAGAAAAAGAGGAAGTCAAAGTTTAGTGTCAAAACAACTTCAAGTGTTTTTCAGGAATTCATTTTAAGTAGCTGGGATCATAGAACCACTGCATTATTCTTATTTCTGCTGGGTTATGTCAACTTTGACTGATAAACACAGACACCATACAGAATAGTAGCCCACAAGTAAAGATTTTAATCAAGGTCATAATGCTAAAAGCATGCTTAGGCTGTAATAGGTGTCAACCTTTTTTCCTTCATTTTCCCGCCCACATTTGTAAGGAAAACTTGTACCAAACAACACAGTTGCAGTAAATAGGTACATCAGAACAATAATAAAAATAGGCTTTTTTCTTTTCTTTTTAGATTCTTATCAAAATGGTGTCTGAGTTGGAGCTACCTATAAAAATTGTGTCGAGCAAGGCCATAGCATTCTGACATGGTTTCAAAGTCTCTGAATCCCTGATTATCAAACAGCAGACAGTGTTGACTTTTTGTCTCGCCCATTGACTGAACCCTCTGTCGATAGTGGCCACCTTAAAATCTGGGTCATGTATACGCTACCTTAAGATAAAGATTTATCTTTGAACGTTGAATTGTTTCACTAAACTAGACCAGGTATCTTAAGGAAACCTAACCCACTGACTCTGGATATCATATTGTTTGGCAGCCAGTTGGCATCCTTGCAGGCCCATCAGACAGTGCAGCTCCATGGCTTTCCATTTGCCAGATGTTCTTGTTTGCACCAGCATTAGTGGTCTCAAGACTTTTTTTCATGACACATTACAAAATGTAAAGGTTGTTGCAAGAATCATAACAAATTCAGGCATAGTGTATCTTTGCACCTCTGTAAGGTGTCTTAATTTCTGTCAGTCCATACCAGAGCAGAGATATACTGTTGATTAATATTCAACATAATTAAATTGAGCTTTTATGATTTACAGTATGCAATCAACAATACAAAAAGAGAGATTTGGATAACTGATACCGAACAACAACGGTGAAGAACAGTTGTCACAAACACACTCAACAATATTTAATAGTTTATTTCCTTAAAACTAAGAAAAATTGTACAACATTCCAGAAAAGGCTTGTTCAAGGATTACTTTACCGGAGCGGATAAATAATATTTTACAACTTTAAAATTCACAATTTGATACCTTCAGCACATTTAATCAAAATGCTCTTAAATCTCAATATTTATCTAAAAAAAAATGTGTTAACAGTCAAATCTATGTTTTAAACTGTGGTCATCCTTTTATGTTAATTGATGTTGTGTTTTTGTATTCTAATGTGTGTTCTTTTTAGTATGTTGCATTATTCAACATGCAGTCAGGTGCCCTTGAAACCAATTTAGTAATTAAAAAAAGAGTCAACTGAAGTATGCTAAATAAATATCATTCTTAGTTTCTCCCAGAAACATATGTCATGATATGCAGATAGTGTATACAGTTATACTCATTCATAGTTTATATGTCTGTGTGTAACTTTCACATGTTCATGCCTCAGGACTACCAGAGACATGTCTTTAAGCAGGTATTATGTTTAAGTATTGACCTTGCATTACTTAGAGTATAATATATATAAGGAAAAATACTTTTTTATAAAGCAGCAGAAAGTCTCAACACTGTATCCTTAATTTCCTATAATGCCATTCAACAGCTTCTCATACCAAGACAATTCTAGACAGTCTGGTAAATTGGAAATTGAAACACAGGTTTTCTGTTTAAATTGGACATCAAGGTTATTTCCTGATGAATGACAAAGCTACTCTGAGCCACAGAAGATATATAACAGTTTTCTTCTTGCTGAGTGATTCTCATGAATTATAAATTGACCTTTAAGAGGTTCATCATTGGAGTTCCCCTTCAAACTTGCTATACTTTAATACTTTCAGGTTATTTATTAAGATAATGAATGCATGACTTCTGCATGCAAATGACACAGAAAGTACCAACTAAACTAAAGACCAACATAAGCTCATCTTTTACCACATACAAGTAGTATGTCCTCAACCAGAGTGGGCGAGTGAGTGCTGACTGATGAAGGAGAAGCAGCAGTTCAGTCATTTACAAGAGTTTCACGTGGCTCTTCTCTGCCGCCTACTCCCTCAAACACAGCTCATGCTCAACAGGAGAGAAAGGCTGAAAGTGTGCAGGTGGACAGAAGGGGCACCGCTGTGTGGGCAGCACAACTTACAATCAACACCATCTCCAGATGCTGGTCATTAGAATGCAACATGTCAGCAGCTTTCCCTCTCACCTGCAGCAGAGAACCAGTGGGATGGAGAGCTCAGAGATAACACCCATTTTCTGCCTGGATGAACTCATGTCAAACAGCCGAGTCACATGTTTAAATTCAAAAATAGCACTAAATCATCCACTGTCAGGGTGATATAGGTCAAAATCAACAGCCTAAGAATGAATTAGAATGGCCCATATGTAAAGTTTAATCTATTGAGTCATTCATGACAAAATGCAACCTTAAAATGTAACGGTAAAAGGTGCCAGTATAGCTAAGTGGGTGAAGCAGGCTAGAGTACTCGTTGCACTGGTAGCAGGTTTGACTCCCGGTTCTGATGCTGTTTGGAGCACGTCATCCTTTTTGTCTCGAGCTGTCCAATCCAATGAGGCATAAAAGCCCCAAATAATCCCAAGAAAATCAATTTCAAAACACACTGAAAATATCTTAAAATAAACCCTATATGTTCGAAAAGAGCAGATTAACAAGAAATACAGTGTGGTCTGAAGGAAGTATGAGGGCAGGGTTGGCCTTGCATCCATGAACTGAATTTCCCCTTGTGGGATTAATAAAGTATAAATTATAATAATGATGGCTGTAGTTCTCAAAGTGGACAGCCCAGGTTTAACCCTCTGCCCCTTTTCTGCAGGTCCTCCCAAACACTCTCCCTAGTGTTACTCTAGCCACTGTTCAATCCTATAAGCCTTAACACCAAGAATAGATCTTTAAATGTTACAAGAAACACTGATGAACAGCAAAGATGGCAGGTAGATCTAAAGTGTATGTGCATTCTGAAAAACCTTTACAAAGAATCAGCTTCAATATTTATGGAACAAGTGTACTGTACTTCTGGCTCAAAGAAAGGTACAATCTGCCACAATGCATTAGGCAGGACAATGTCGATGTTTAAGTCAGGAGACATAACTCATGAACGTTACCATGTTGTGCCACAAAATATCAAATCAAGCTCAAGTTCTTGCAACGATATAATATGCAACTTCATGCCAAGATTCTTTTCTGCATTACGATGGTGTAAAAGATTGTTCTACTTCCGACGCAGCTCTCCTGACCCTCCAATATTCACGTATGACACTTTTAGAGCCCATCATTCACTTATAACCGTAACATTGCATTTAATTTGTGCAAAAAGTCATGTTGCAAAATGTAACCTTGTTAGCATTCAGTGTGATTAGAACACACTGCCAATAGCAGTCAGTAACTAACCTAGAATAGCTCTAATCCCAGATAACTTGTAGTACCGTATTTAGATCCAATGTGATTTTGACATTACATCATGTGTATGAAAGATTTAAACACCTTTTCATTTAACCACCAACAGCCTTTGTTTCAGCCATCAGTGGCACAGTAGAGATACCGTTGCTGCCATCTAGTGAGAAGCCACAGCAATGTCAAAGGGAAGGGTTTTATTTAATAACACACAACATACAAAAACACTGAAAACATTAAACACATCGTTGATAGAACATATTAAACTTCAGCCAATGGGACTTCAGATGGAGAGGATGGCGCAACAACCTATAGGGGAAGAAAAAAAAGTTAGTGCATCATTTACAGATCATAAAACCAAACGCTTAAAATAAAATTCAGTGTCATGGCTCTTACCGGGTTCACTTCAGTGATGTCCTCGCTTTTCCACTCAACCTCAGTGTCACTTCCTGTGCCGTTGTGCGAGCAGAACTCCTCACTCTCAGTCTCTACAGTACTGGGCTGAGAAAAATTTGGAATTTGACAACTTACCTTTTTCCATTTCATGTTAAGGTGTCTTAGTTAAAATAACTGAAATGTGCATTTTAGTGCATCCTTTTCATCACTGGAATATTGAAAACACTTCTCATTTGCCATTTAGAGCAAGGCCAGGCCATAAGGAAAGGCAGCTTTACTCTCAATTTAAAAATAAAATCAAAACACTAAACTAAAATTAGTATGGGGATTTGGGGCATTTTCTGCACCCTCAAGCACCAACCTCATAGTCAGGATCCTCTTCTGAGGCCTCATCGTCAGCAAGCTCCTGAGTGAGTGCCTCCACCCAGGTCGGCTGATCCTCATCTTCATCCTCATCCAACTCATCCTGCTTTCTCTTGCTGCCCTTCCCGCAGGGTTTAGTAGGAGAGACTCTGATTTCTGTTCGTAAACAAAAATAGAAGTTTGTCACCATGCTTTTTTTACAATGTCATGTTCCACTGAAATACAAAGATAAATCACACAGTTGTGGCATTCGAACATCTGATTTGAGCCTTTATGGATACCTTCCATTTAGTTTTGGGTAAAATATAAATAATTGAGAGGTGGATAAACATCTCAAACAAAGCCCATCAGCCTAAGAAAAGGTGTTTTTCCAGTCATTGAACTTGAACTGCTGCACTTAACATGGTTCAACAAACACCCCCCTGATGTTTTAGCAGCAAGTTTGATTAATTTTACATTCAAATGACAATATTTGTTAAAATAGGATGTCCAGACTCACTGTAGGTATTCCTATCAGGTCTAAAATATGGGGGGGTTAAACTTCAGAAATGATTGTTTTGACCATTTATAAGTCCATAAAGTGATCATGACATTGCAATTTGATTATAATGTTAAAACTTTGACCGTACATACATAGTCTTGTGTAGCTGGTCATGGAGTTTGTCGACGAAGACATTATTGAACTAGTACCTGGGGACAGGGAGCGCCCGATGCTGCTGGACACCGGGTAGCCCAGGGCGCCCTGCACCCAGCGGGGCAGGATTGACAGCAGCAGACGGGTGACCCTGCGCAGGCGCTTACGGCCTGTCAGGCTTTGGCGGGCAGGACTGGAGGTCGCGGGGGCTTTCTCCTGTGGCTGACGGAAGCCCAGCACCCAAAACAAGCCGCGACAGGCGCGTACCTGTGAAGAGGATCCACGTTTAGGTCACATGTTAAGCGAGCAGGTCGGTACTAGACATTAGCTGCTGCTCGTACCACGACGCCGAAAGGCCAGAAGAGACCGCGCACCACGTATCGAACCACACCGTCTCTCCTTTCGACCGTGAGCTACAAAAAAAAGAAGTTGTGGGGAAAAAAAAGAAGTGAAAGCTTCGAAAAGCGAAACACACGTCTTTGTGTTCATTAAAGTAATAGGCGATTACTCCGGCCACCATTACCTCTGTGTTTTGGGCCTGCTCCTGCTCCATGGTGTCTCTGCTGATTTCACTCGCCATCCTGCTGCGGGTCGAAGCCTGGGGGGGGACCTGTTGGCTGCAAGCTGCACCGAGGAGAAGAAGCTGGAGGACTACACAGTCTGATGTTTAGGGGGTTGAGATGTACCCGGGGTTTCCCACTGTTTAGCCAATCAACTTGGACAAATGCACCTGGTGCAATCAGATCCGACCAATGGAGGATTCCCGCCAATTAACGAGCAACAGGACAGAGATGGTGACGGTGATGGTGAACAACTTGGGCTTCTTCATCAAAATGGAGAGCTATTTAAATCAGTAGAACAGGATGGTACATTTATTTATCATTCTACAGACTTAGTCAAAAGTCAGCTGCAGTGGTTTTGTAGAAAAATAAAATATGGATGAAATGACTTAAAGCTTTAAATATTTTTTTTTATTAGCAGTGCAAGAGGAAGTTACTGCAAGTGAAACTATTAAACTTAAAAATAGTGTTGAAAATGAAAATATCCATGTTAAAGATGCAGGAAAACACCAGTTAGGTCAAGACTTATCAACCATAACATGAAGTCCTCTAGCATCACACAAGACAGCATTACTTTCACAGATACAGTTTGAGAGGCACTTAAAGGTAGGCCTATATCATTTCTAAACGAGGCTGTAGACATGAAGAATACACAGAAGATAACATTTTAATGTTTAAAACAAACTTTAAAATGTCCAATTATGCCATTGCCAGCCAATACAAAGTATTTTGCAGACTCGACTAAATAGCCAATTGTTGTCATAAGGTGTAACAATTTGACAAGGCTTAATTATGTGTAATTTTTCATCAATGCGGCACAAGCTCAGTCTGTAGGGACTTGGGTTGGGAACCGCAGGCCAGGGTTCGCCAGTTCAAGTCCCGGTGCAGACCATAGACTTTAAATATTAAATTGCAGACCAAAATATTGAAGTTAGTCTTGTTGCTGGAGAAGTGTCAGGTCACTGTGGTGTGCTCTCTGTGTAGCAGCCCCACTCTGACATCATTAATGCATGTCCAAAGGTCCTGTTTGTGCATGAGTGTATTTCAATCAGGAGAGACAAGTAAATGATTCATAGACAAATGTATTTTTTATGTGATATTGAATGATTGTCAGAGAATCTTTGGCAATTGAAGTTGTCTGCCCTGAGCGACAGCAAGATCTATCCCCCCATGACGTCCAGACACTGGTGGTGGAGGTGTTAGATGAGATGATGATGTCATCTGAGGCTGATGGGATAAAAGCTGATCTAACTGAAGAATGGGGTTGACGAGAAAGGCTGAAGATATGGTCTGAGGATGAAGGGATGAAGAGGCTGACCAAACTGCGTAGACTGGGGTTGACCGTGCAATGGCTGATACTGTGATCTGAGGCTGGTGGGATGTAAAATGTTATGAAACTGCGATGGTTTGGTGGTGATGGGGAGGTGGAGGGTCGCTCGTAACGATGACATGAATGAACTAGTGGAAGAGAGACATTTTTAAACAAAACAGCAGCAAAATAATAGGCTTCTTCAAAAAAGCTTCTTCAGTTCTAAACTATTTAGTGGACGGAGCTAGAAATGTAAGCCTCTGTGGATCATTAGCTTGCTAATAATCAGTATTAATTGCTTATTGAATAGTTAATAATAGCAACCCCACTCCACACTGAACAGCAGCTTGAAACCATTACATCACAAACCGTAGCATGTTTACCCAAGACACTTTGAGAGGCAGTAAGAGGCTCCAGCATGGTTCGCTCCTTTGCATATGAAGAGGTTCATGAAAGAGGCCCATTATTTTGCTTCCATACTTGACAGGCTCCCTTAATTGGACAACATTTCCTAATTCTTTCGTCACATATACCCATCTGTTGATGCACGTTGTGGAGGACAAAATGCGGAAGTAGAGAGGTATAAAAGCCTGTCATCTCTGCGCTTAACAAACTACAACCGAGCCCCTGGCAAAGAAAGGGAAAGAGTGATGGATAAGACGGCAGTCACACGGACTTTCAGCATTGGAGGTATTTGCAGTAGAACCAAAGCTCAAGACGACTTCTCCACAGCACGCAGGCACAGCAGTGCGGGGATCCGTGCACTCTTGTGGGCTACAGGCAGTGCAAAGTCCCTCGGTTGCTCTATTGGCTCAGACTCTCAGATAAGCCAGCAGAACATTTTTCCAAATATCCTGACACCTGACAGCATACCACAGTTCACCATACCTAGACTGTCTGTGCAGAACAGCTTAAGATCATTAGACCAAGAGGCAGAGGATGATGATGTCGAAACAGAAGAAGGCTCAGGGAATTCTGGGACTGAGCCGGAGCCATCTTCTTCTTCCTTAGCATCGACTTCTACGCTCTCCTCATCCAGATCATACCCGGGTGCCAGTTTGGTCCTGTCAGACCGTAAGGCTGAGCGCAGCGTCTCTGACCCCTTAACCCAGAGGAGAGCTCGTCTTCAGAGGGAGGTTTCCAATTCCTGTTCCCACTCGGATGCCCAGCACTGCCTGGACCCCGTCAGCAGAGCTGCCCTCTCCCTGCCACACCTTACCAAGGTCACCACCCCGTACGGCTTCATCACCCTGAGCCAGAGCCCACACATGGCGAGCGAGGAGGCACTTCTCTGTCAGGGGATGCGGCGCTTAAATAAGGACGATGAGACCGCATGCTGTCTCAGCAAAGCTCCCGGGACGGGGACAGTAGACAACAAAGTTAGCTCCTCACACCTGCTGGGAGACAAGAAGAACTCTTAGAAGATCCAACTGACTCTCAGAAGGAAGACGTATTGGTAAAAGGAGAAAAGGAAGCTTTCACTGACAAATTCGTCAGTGCCACAGTTTCATCCTCTTCTAAGCAAAGAGATCAGGATGGCAAACTTAAGCGACGCTTTTCTAATCTTATAAGGAAACACTTAAAACCTCGCCATTTAGATTGAACTTATTTGCAACCATTTCAATGTAACCTAATTTGCCATGTCCATTTGCTCATATATATATGAAGCAGTTATTCACACCATCATCTTGATAAATAATACAGCTTTTCTCTTGTGTCAGTACACAGAATGTCATAATGTTTTAGCTCTGAAAACCTGTGAATATGAACCAATTGTTGTCACTTGAAAAAAAATAAACCAACATAAACAGAACTTTGCAGTGTGTGGCGTATAATATTTAAGTCTCATATAGCCATGGAGTATTTTATTTCACATTTCCTGTTTCTTATGTCAAGGATCCCACAGGGTCACCTTTAAGATTCTCATCGGGGGTACAGGGATACTTCACTTCAGCAATGTGTTTAAGGTTAATGAATTCCTCCACCGCTTTCAGGGTCTTAAATGTCACAAGCTGCCTGCTCATATTCAACCCTGTGTGTTTAATATGTCTCTGTAAAGCTTTCACAGATCATCCTGCAGGAGTACATGGGTGCTGAGAAACTAAGCACCTCTCCTCTCTCCTTAGCATATGAAGAGCTTCAGTGGAGAGGCCCTTTATGATGCTCCACTAATGCAGCCTTGTATCTTGCATCCTCAACTCTCCCACGCACTGAAATGTAGTGGTTTATTGTTAGGATGACGCAGATCGCCGGCCTCTAATTAGAGGAAAAGGAGTATACAAAAGTGGGTCCCAGATCGCAAGAATAGATTATATTTGTGTATGATGTATAAACACCTTCCATGTTTGTTTATGCACATGACGAAGGTGATTATTTAAAAATGTACACAGAAATATTCAGAACAGAGTGCCAGTTTATATCCCTTCAACTAAAAAAAGAGTTGCTCAATTCCTCTATAGGTTTAACTGTGTTTACCTCTTGTGACCATAATGCTATTATATCTGTTAGGGTCAGTCAAATATGAGACACACTTTTCAACATGCAATTCAACAGCATCACAAACCACATCCTCAAAAATGATCAAGTCAACGCCCCTAAAAACAGGAACGCTTTTCCTGTTCTTCCCCGTAGAGTTTATGTCTGTAGTTCACACGACATCCCTCAGTAGTCTTATTTTAAAACACTTCATATTAAAGCATGTTAACTGCAGTAGACTTATTTATTTCAGGAGAAGCATTTATACACAGGTTCTGTTTGAACACCACACTTTACACCGCATGCAGATTGTTTTTGTTAATGTTCCTCATAAGCTCCTTATAAGGGTATTCTTGTAGGCTATACACTGGGGGTCACTTCCTATTCAGTCACAATATGTTCACAGACACGTGATGATCATCATCTGGTGAATGTTATGGTGTAAATATAGCAGAACTACAGGACCATGACTCTGAAAAATCATTAGTCTGTAGCCCTTTGGTTGCATGAGTCATTCTAGGGATTCAGTACTCTAGGATCACACACTCCTCAAGAATACACTTTGTGTAACACGACCACAGATATAATGATTCCAATATAAGTTTATCATATCACACGTCTGTGTGGGCGTTATCTCTGTGTCACTTACAGCACACAGGGCTTATTACTGACAACAGGATATCCATACTTGGTCATTAAACTGTGGCTTCGTCATAGTGTTCTTTGCTTTGGGCTCTGGTTTTAAGGCTTTATTTCTTTGTTCATATCCAATGTTTATGCTTTTTATTTTTATATTCAAAGTTCCTTGTAGGATGTACAATACATGCACCCTGTTTTTAGCAAAAGCAATTTGCCATACCTGCAGGAGGCTCAAGGAAATGTTGATCTTTTTGTTTTCTTAGTCAACCACCCTGATCCAGACTGAAATATCCAGAGACTATTGAATGGATTGCTGTGAAAGTTTTTATGGTCCCCAGAGGATGAACCCAGTTGGTAATTTAATTGATTTTTCCCCTAACACAAGTCACATTTATACATTTTTGAGAATTGTAGTTTTTTGTTTTGTGTTCATTTTTTGGGGGGGGCCTTTCTGCCTTAAGTGGAAAAGATAACTGAAGAGAGACAAGAAATGCGGGAAGGAGAGAGTTGGGGATGACGTGCAGCAAAGGGACAAGGTCAGATTCAAACTCACGGCCACTGTGACAAGGACTAATAGCCTCTGTAAATGGGGTGCGCAACATAACTGGCTATCAATAGGCCATTGGCGCCAAGATAATTGTGGTTTTAATTTTAAAAATCTATTCACCTGCTGAATGGATTCCATGACATTTTGTACCC